TTCAGAAACCCCTTCCCCTCCCCCTTTTCTGATGAAGGGTCTAGGCCTGAAACGTCAGCCTCTCTGCTCCTATGATGCTGCTTGGCCTGCTGTGTTCATCCAGCCCTGCACCTTGTTGTCTATAATAGGCTTTATTTGTTTGAATCTAAAATAAAAACAAATGTATTATGAGGGTTTGGTTTAACATTTTGATTGTATGACACAATACCATGTCAAAATGCCTGAGTACCGTTCCACAAATAAAAGAGATTAATAGCCAGTTAATCTTTAGTTTATAGCAATATATTCATGAGGAAGGAACGGCGGCTTAGACACTGGGATTTCCTTTTCTGTTTTATCAAATACTACGTGGGATCTTCACCATCTAAATAGGCATAATATACTTATGTTTAACATCTTAAAAACTAGGAGCAGGAATAGGCAATTCAGCCCCTCAGTCTCAACTCCTTTCCTGCCTGCCCTTCATAACCCTTCGACCCATTACTAATTAAAAATATGTCTATCTCCTCCATACATTTGCTCAATGTCCTGGTATTCGCCACACGCTGGTTTAATGAATTCCTCAGATCAAGTACCTTGTCTGATACTTTCCAGAAAAAATGTCAGTAAAATCTGTTTTCCAACATCAAGTAATGTTTCCCAATTGATAGTAGTTTGTACCAAAAGTTTAGTTTACTTCTGTTTTTATTTCATAAAGCCATGAATTTGTATTTTTACCACAAGTGAGTTATAAGGATGTTTAGTGTCCATAATTTTCATATTGTTACAGTATTATTTTGGTTGTTTGCCAACAAACATTTTTTTTCATTGAATAGAAAGAATTTTACACGAATGAAAAATCTGTGGTACATATAGAAAAATAATTAGCTGCTGAGTATGTTTTTTTTAACACCATCCATGGAGTAAAGACCATTGAATAAATATTTCTATTTCACTGGTTTATATTAGCATAATTTATTCATGTGTTGACTGAGAGTGAAGTTTTAAGTTATTTAATTGAAAAAGAATATTCTGATGCATGTGTGTCAATAATACTTAATCTTCTATCACACTTGACTCCTTGATATTAAAGATGTAATTCTAAATTTGGCAATCCAAGAAAAATCTGAGTTGAGATGGGTAGTTTTATTGGCAGTAAGCCCATTTTCAAGTTCTGATAAAATGTATTGATGTTGTCATAATAAATGCCAAAGGAACAGAAGTCTAAACCAGTTCTGTAAGAAGTGATTCAAGTAAATAGTTATTAAAGCTGTACTGATCGGAATTTTTGAAATTTTTTCCACTGGTAGAATTTTCAGTATGTCAGACAAAATTTTATTGAGTTTTATATACCTCTGCTTCCCATTAAAAATATTAAAATGCCTTCAAAGTTTTATAATGGTGCTCACAAAATCAAAATATATACATGACATACATAAAAGAAAAACACCTTCTCTGTAAGTGTCTGCTGATTTGTCATTTGTCATTCTTGCATTTTGCTGTCTGTGTTCTGACTCATAGTCATAGAGTCCCCACAGTGTGGAAGCAGGTCATTCAGCCTGTCCAGTCCACACCGACCCTCCAAAGACCATCCCACCCACACCAACCCAGTCCCTGGCACCCTGCATTTCCCATGGCTAATCCACCTAGCCTGCACATCCACGGACACTAGGGACAATTTAGCACAGCCAATCCACCTAAACTACACATCTTTGGACTGTGGGAGGACACCGGACCACCTGGAGGAAACCCACGTAGACACAGAGAATGTACAAACTCTACACAGATGTTGGCCTGAGCACAGGATTGAACGTGGGTCTCTGGATTGTCAGGCAGTAGTGCTAATTACTGAGCTACCGTGCCGCCCTTATTCAGGATCCTGTATTCAGGATGCCACCACAAATTCATCATCTCCTCTGCCTTGTGGCACCTTCCCATGCAATTGCAGGTGTGACACTTGCCCCTTTACTTCCTCCCTCCTCACTGCCCAAGAACAAACATAGCCCTTCCAAGTGAAGCAGTGATTCTTTCAATCTAGCCTACTATATTCACACTCGCAATGCAATGGTTTGCATATTAGTAAGACCAAATGCAGACTGGCTGACTGCTTTTCAAAACATCTCTGCTCTGTCCGTAGAATGACCCCCAACTTTCCAGTTGCTTGCCATTTTAATCCACCGTCTAATTCTCATGTTGACATTTCTGCTGTCTTGTTCCAGAGAAGCCCAATGAAAGCTGCAGGAAGAGCACCTCATTTTTCATTTGGGTAATGTGCAGCTTCATTTTTCCACTTGGGTACTTTGAAGCCTACAGGACTCAACGTTGAGTCAACAATTTTGTTTTGATTCTCCCCAGTGTTTTGTTTGCATTGCAGAGCTGCACTATTTTCTGTTACTATTGCCTACTCTTCATCTATATCTCTCTTCTGCTGCCATTAGCACTCTCTTTTTGGATTTTGCAAAAAGAATCACTTTTCCAGACCTGAATTCTGAAGAAGAGTCATACTGGATTTGAAACATTAACTTTTCCTCTGTCCACAAATGATATCAGATCTGTTGAGTTTCTTTTTGATTGCATATATTTTTTTAAAAAGTTTTGGTGACACTGCCATCAGCAACCAAAGATCAAGTTCTGGAATGCCCTTCATAAAATCCCGATCGTTGTATCCTAAATGGCCAGGTGGTAAAAAATTAAAGTGGAGTATAAGGGTTGGACATTTTATAAGCATTTATTTATTGAGACACACATTATAAACATACGTTGAAAATCCAACAGACCCAGTTTCAGTCTGGTCCTATATGGAATAGGAGTTAATAGCCCCCAGATAATACCCATCACATGAATATAATTAATATACAATTAATATCTGACACTTATCGCATCTTACCTCCTTTAAGATGTTCCTGAAAACCTATTTCTCTAAAACAATTTTCGAACATTTCCTTGTCTTCATCAGATGTAATGTCATATTTTGTTTAATAATATTTCTGTGAAGTGTCATAATGTATTTTACCACATTAACATAATGCCTATTCAATTGATGGAAATGCATTACTCAGTGTTTTGATATTGCTAAGGTTATTAGAAGTTTCTTTTTTTTCTAAAAGTGCAAATTATATTTCTCCCCTTTTAATAATGATTTTGAGCTCGTTTTGATCTTTAGGCTTTCTCCCAACGTTGGCAAATTTATCAGTCCTCAGAGACTTCAACAGACTCTAAGGACTTTTGGAAGGTTACACTCAGTACATCCACTATCTCTGTACGTTCTTCTTTTAATATCCTAGGATACATCTCATCAGGTCCAGGTGACTTATGGATCTTTTGCTCCATTTATTTCCTTGGTTCGCTTTCTTTAGTGAAAACAATTACATTTATTTTGCTGCTGTTTTTCCCTGTTGATTTGTTTAGCATTTTTAGAATGTTATTAAGTCTTTTACTGTGAAGATTGATGCAAAATGTTTATTGAACTCCTTTCTGTTTCCTGATTACCTTGTTATTACTTCCACAGCCTTGTTCTCTAAGGACCTTACGTTAAATTTGGCCACTGTCTTCATCAGGCACTTCCTGCCCCAACTTAATGGGGAGACAGTTTTCTTGATGCCAGAAATCAAGCGCAGAAGTCCTGGCAGATCTACCACCAACATTTCAGGGCCAATTAGAGATGATTGTTAAGTGCTGATTTAGCCAGTTATGCCCATGTCTTGTGATTGAGTAAATAAGATAATGTCTTACTAGTGTGTTCCCCTCACCCCACCATCCATCAAGCCTGCTCCAATGTGCTGACTTAAATTCCATTTTGTGTAAGGCAAATCACTTCAACTGAAAATTACTGAAGAATAAGAATGGAAGAATTCAGCAGCAAAGCTGAATAAATCTAAAGCCTTTACATTTCATATGTGACACCTTGTATTTAATATAATTGAGATCAAAATGCAAGGAAGGTCATATAATAAAAACAGTAAAAGTTTTTTCCCCTCAGAAGACTATCAATTGAGAATTTTAATAGGTGCATTCTCCAGGGCAGTACATCTAACAATCAGAGTCCACTTGTCAACCAATCAGCACTATCCTCTCATCATTGACATGTGTTTTTCCCTTTAAATTAATATTCTTGTAAAGTGTCCTGTTGTCTTTTATCAGCAATATTTTGCTGTGTTCTGAACACAGTTTATTATTGAGTGTCTCTGGGAACACTAATGTGTTTTCCTAATCAAAACCTGATGTAATCAAAGAAAATTAAGTAAATTAGATAGTTAGGATTAGATCAGTTTATACATGATGAATGTACTTTACATCATACATATTTGAAAATGTTTCTGCCCCTTTTTTTTAAGATACTTAGCCAATACCATGGAGGAGGATGAGGAGGAATACAAGTATGAAATTTTTCCATGGGCTCTTGGAAAAAAATGGAAGAAATTATTTCCAGATTTCTTAAAGCAACGAGATCAGCTTTGGGCAAAAATTAGTTTTAGGGCAGCTGTGAGTAAACGCTGTTGTGAGGAGGTGAGAATTACCGCATTAATATCCATTATCTCACTGTAATCAATGACTTATGTATTGTCCCTCATGTAAAGTAACCTGAGTTGGCATTCTTCCTGTTGCTCAAAAGTCAGAGTAACTGCATGGTCAGAGTGAAGGAGACTGAGTCAGAGTGAGTAACTGGAAATTCAAGATAGTGGGAGAAAGACATGCTTCAATTAAGGGTTACTTGCAGAAATACAATTCCCCAGAGCGAGATGTATAAGGCAGAGAAAGTAAGGTGCAGATCAAGACATCTACCTGCACTAAAACTAATAGCATCATGACATCACAAGTGCAGGGAAAGCAGCTAATTGGCATGAAACTTTAGTATGGGAGTCAGAGAGGCAGCAGGACCTGCAAGGGTGCAGCTCAGAGCAGGAGGTAGTAAATCGGGGCAAGAGGCTTGATGCCTACACCACTTACCTTGGGAGTCAGAGAGTCAGCTCATGCTGAGTTTGAAACAGACTGGAAAAAACAGTGATATCACAGAAAAACCATAAGTTCATTGGTTGGCTGAAAATTTCTAATTTAGAAAAACGTACATTTTTAATCAAGTAACTCTGTTTAGATTTAACTGAGAAAAGTACAGCCTTTATCAGAAGATAATATAAGTAACAAAAAGGGAAGTTAAATTGAGACTTGAATCAAGGCCTTTAGAGACTGGAGGCTAGGACTTTGCATTTCAGCAAGAGCGTTTGAAATGAAATACGGTCACTAGCATAATTAATATTCCTTAAAGGGACTAACTAACAAGCTTAACCTAAAGTGAAGTCATGGCAGCAGAACTCACATAGACTCTTCTACACTATGTGGGAAGTTATAGGCATTTTCAGGGTCCTGGGCAGAAGTGCATGTGTACAGGAGGTTTGTCCAGCTGCAGTTGCTGGCTAACCGCGTTTTGGAAATGGAGCTGTGGGTGGTCTCAGTGCGGAGCATCTGCAATGCTAGAATACTGTGACCAGCAAGATGTGAGGTGGTCATGTGGCAAGTAAAGATTAAGTAGGCAGAAAGGATATCAGTGACCACCAGGCTGAGTAGAGAAAGGCAGATAATGCAGGAGTCTGTGGCTGTGCCCTCTCTAACAGATATACTTCTTTTGATACTGTTAGGGAGGACAATTTCTCAAATAACAACAAAATTCATGTCCACGGCAGCATTGGTGGCTGTAGTGTACAAAGGGGAATGAAGAATGGCAGGGCTGTAGTAATAGAGCATTCAGTGGTAAGGGGAACATTTCTGTGACTGCAAAAGAGACTCCACGACGGTATGTTGCCTCCCTGATGCCAGGGTCAGAGATGACTGAGTAGCTGCAGGACATTCTGAACAGGAAGGGCCAACAGCTAGTGGATGTGGTACATTTTGGTACCGATGACTTAGGTTCAAAAAAAAAGGGACAAAGTCCTACAGGCAGATTATAAGGACCTCATCTGTAGTAAACTCAGGATTACAAACAGTGCCATGTGCTAGTGAGAGTAGAAATAATAGAATATGAATACCTGGCTGGAGAAATGGTGTGGCTGGAGAAAAGGAGGGAGTGATTCAGATTCCTGGGACATTGGCACTGGTTCTCGGAGGGTGGAACCAGTACAACAGGACGGGTTGCATCTAAGTAGTACAGGGATCAATGTCATCAGGGGAAACAATCACAGCAGGTTGGCCAGCATCCGTGGAGAGAGAGCAAGCTAACACTTGAAGCCTAGATGCCTCTTTGTCAGGGCTGATGTGAAGTGTGGAGGGCTCAGCATTTATATAATAGTGTGCGGTGGAGTGCTGGGTGAAAAAGGGTGCTTATTCTGCAGATTATGTGATTGGAATTTGAGAATGGCAGAACAACGGTGTGTCCAGCTGCCAAACTGTAAGGAACAGATGGTCCCTCTGGAGTTGGGAAAGAGAGGACAAGGTGACAGAGAATGCAACAAGTAAAGCTAGGAGAAATAGGAGTGAGTTCACAGTCTGAAGGTGTTGAAAGTCCAGAAGGTTGTAAAGTGCCTAGTTTTAAGATGAGATGTTGTTACTCCAGTCTGCACTGTGATTCACTGGAGCATTGCAGCATTCTAAGGACAGACAAGTGGGCATGCGAGCAGGATGCTGTGTTGAAATGACCAGCTGCGGGGAGGTCAAGATAATGCTTACACAGGGACTGGACATGTTCTGCAAAGTGCTCATCCAGTCTGCATTTGGTTTCTCCAATGTGGAGTAGGCCACATTGGATGCAGTGAATGCAATAGACTAGATTGGAGGAGGTGTAGGTGAAGTGCTGCTTCATCTAGAAAGAGAAAGACAATGACTGTTTTGGCCCTTGGATGGTGAGCTGGGAAGTGGTGAAGGGCAGGTGTTGCACCTTCTGCACTTACATGGGAAGGTGCGTTGGAGGGGGAGTGGTGTTAGTGGGCATCGAGGGATGGACTAAGGTGTCCCTGAGAAATGCAGACAGGGGAATTGCGGGGAAGACATCTTTGGTGGTGGCATTCTCTGGAGTTGTCTGAAATGGCGGAGGGTGATCCTTTGAATACGGAGGCTGGTGGGATGATAAGTGAGGATAAGGGGACCCAATCACATCATGATGTCGAAGTCAAAACTAAGGTCCTGAACCTAAAAAAAAAGCTATGAGGGTATGGGACACGAATTGGCCAAGATGGTTTCAGGAATCTTATTGAAAGGGTTGACAGTAGATGGCAAGAGAAGAATGTGTGCATGAATTACAACAGTTATTCATTCCTGTCTGGTGCAAAAATGAAAGAGAAAAATGGTTCTACCATGCCTTACAAAATAAATTAGAGATCGTTTAGATCCAAAGAGGAGCCATATAAAATTGTAAGAAAAAGCAGAAAGCCAAAGGACAAAAAGCTTGCTTAAGAGGGGGTAAATAGAATATGAGAGTTAGGGTGAGGAAACATAAAAAACTGATTATAGAAGCTTTTATAAATATATGAAGAGAAAAAGATGGTAAAGACAAATGTTAAGCTTACAGTCAGAATCCAGGGAAATTATAATAGGGAACAAAGAAATGTCAGAAAAATTGAACACATACTTCAATTCTGACTTCAAAAAAGAGGGCACAAATAACCTCCCAGAAATATAAGGGAATGAAGGGTCTCCTGAGAGGGCAGAAGCGATGGAAATCAGTATTAGTAATACCATTATACTAGGGAAATGAATAGTGTTAAAAGTAGACGATCATCAGGGCATGATAATCTACATCACAGAGTACTAAAGGAAGTGGCTGTGAAAGTATTGGATGCATTGGTAATCATCTTCCAAAACTTTATGAACTCTGGAGCAGTTCCTAAAAATTGGAGGGTGACAGTTGTCACCCCACAGCTTTTTAAAAAAAAGAGGGAGAGAAAATTGAATTACAGACCCGTTGGTCCAATATCGGTAGTAGAAAAAATGCTATTATAAAATATCTGATAACAGACATTTGGAAACCATTAATGGGATTGGACAAAACCAGCATGGATTTATGAAAGGCAAGTCATACTTCACAAATCTATGTGAGTTTCTTTTTGTGGATGTAACTTGTAGAATAAGTAAGTGAGAACCACTGCATGTGGTGTATTTCGATTTTTCAGAAGGTTTTTGGGAAGATGTAAGTAGGTAAAATTAAAGCACATGGGAGTTAGGGTAATATATTAGCATGGATTGAAAATTGATTGACAGGAAGCAGAGTGGGAATAAATAGATGTTTTTCTGGGTGGTAGGCAGTGAGTGACCAGTGGTGCACCCTAAGAATCTGTGCTTAGGGTCCCAACTATTAATGACATATAAAAATGTCCTGCTACAAATGCAATATATCCCAGTTTGCTGATCACACAAAACTGGGCAGGGATGTGAGGACGTTCCAAGGAACCTTCAAGGTGATATAGACAAGTTGAGTGAGTGGGCAAAACATACTAGATGCAGTACAATGTGGCAAGCTGTGAAGTTATACAGTTCATTGTTTTATAAAAGAAGAATATTATTTAACTGGTGATACATTGGGAAACATGGATGTACAAAAGGATTTGAGTTCTCATACACCAGTCAATGCAAGTAGACAGGCAGATACAACAAGCAATTAGAGAGGCAAATGGTATATTTGCCTTCATTGCAAGAGAATTTGAGTTCAGAAGCAGGGATAAAACAAATAACTATGGATGCTGGAGATTTGAAACAAACAAAAACAGAAATTGCTCGAGAAACTCAGCAGGTCTGGCAACATCTATGAAGAGAAAGCACCATAAATGTTTCAAGTCTGGTGACACTTCTTCAGAATTTAGAACTGTTCTGACGAAGGGTCATTGGATTCAAAATGTTAGCGCTGTTTTCTCATAATCAAGGATGTCTTACTGCAATTAAACAGGGCCTTACTTCGTGAGACCAAATCGAGCATATTGCAGTTTTAGTCTCCCTACCTAAAAATGGACATACTTGCCATACAGGGAGTACAACAAAGGTTCACATAGCTGATATTCAAGACAGCAGCTATCCTGGTCCTTTGTCCCAAACGAATGTACCTTGTTTTCGATATAAGTAACGACAACAGACTAATAACTTCTGGGATAAAAACACTGTTGAGAAGATAATTTCTTAACTCACCTAATTGTGCAACATTTTTTATTTAAGTGCTTTTGCCTCAGCTTTGCACATTGAAGTGTTCAACATGCTCTTTCATTTCTTGTCAGGAACATAAATTTATGTCCAAAGCTTGTGATAGGCGGCATGGTGGCTCTGTGGTTTGCACCTCTACATTGCAGTGCCAGGGACCTGGGTTTGATTCCATCCTGGGTGACTGTCTGTATGGAGTTTGCATGTTCTCCCCACGTCTGTGTGGGTTTTGCCTGGGTGCTCCGGTTTCCTTCCACAGTCTAAAGATGTGCAGGTTAGGTGGATTGGCCATGCTAAATTGCCCGTAGTGTCCTGGGATGTGCAGACTATGTGGATTAACCTGGGAGATGCAGGGATGGGAGATGCAGGGTTACAGGGATAAAGTATGGGGGTGGAGGCTCTTCAGAGGGTTGGTTGAGCTGGATGGGCTGAATGGAATCTGCTCCCACGCTGTAGGGATTCCATGACAACAAATCTATATCCTAAACCATACTTCTGTAGGAGTTTAAGAGGAACGGAGAAGAGGATTATCACAGGGAGGTATCTCTTAGCAACCAGTTGAATTCCAGCATTGCCTGAGGTCTTCAAGAAGGTCACCACCCTACATAAAATTCTTGTTGGACCAAATCTGGAGCAATGTGCAAGATTCTGGGTATCACAGCTTTGCAAGAATATTCTGCACAGAAAACCAGAATAGTATATTGGCTAAAAGGATTAGGTCATGAGGGCAACCTGCATATATTAGATTTGCAATCCCTCAAGTAGAAAAAATTAGTAGGTGATATAACTAGACTTAGTAAGATGATTAAAGGATTTGATAGCATAGATTGTGGTATCCTTTCTGATATTAATATTGGACAAATCAGATCCCAGAGAGAAACCTAGCTTGATAGACCATTGTTTTATTTTTATTCTTGTTTACTGTGGAGGTCAGTCATTGAACATCTTCACAAGGCTGCCAATTTATTTTTAACAAAAAACTGAAAATTTTATGCACAAAAAAAATTATACTAGACAAGAACAAGTGCAACAATCTTATAGCAAACATGAAAGACTGATTCATCCTCTTTACTTCAGCAATACTCCTCTTACAGACAACTAGGTATATTTGTTTGTGACAAGGAACCAGGGTGGCTTGTGTGTTCAAATAATGTCAAATCATTTTCTTATTTTGATGTTCTCGATTCAATCTGAATTTTTACAAAATATAATACTATAGGTGCAATCTTATTTATTCTCATCCAAGTAGTATCTCCACCTTTATTGGCGATTAAAGAAAAGTTTGGCTGGTGACACCTACAGCCCATGAAAGCAAAAAAATTACAGTATTTCTATAACACTTACCCAGATAAACATGTCAGACACCTTTAACTTAAGGACCACAAAAAAGAATACAGAGGGTATGGTATACGAAAGGCATAGTCAAAGAGAAGTACTTGTTGGAAACGTTTGGAGGGAAAATGAGAACCAGAACACAAAGTTTAATAGTTCGCAAAAGTGGATATAGCGGTTGTGATGTGTGACCTCCAGCTGTTTTCCGATACAGGTAGTTATGCAAACTTGGGGCTGCATGCATGGTACCAGTACTAAATGCACATTTTCAGTGGCTATTATTTATAAGCATAAAACAGACCAAACAAGTTAAGGAAGAACTTTCACACGTGTACGAGTCTCATAACCACATCTATAAAGCTTCATATAAGAGAATTTTGTTTCCATAGGTTATGGCAATTGCTCCATCCCATTACATCTGGCAACGGGGAAGGCCACTGCATCACAGTGGTGCTATCAGAAGATACATGCGAAATGAAGTCAAAATACCTCGGGGTCCCTGTGACACACCAGTTCACTGTTCACTTTGTGGCCAGAAAGAGGGTTTCCTCAGCATGCGTATATCATCATCATCATCATCATCATCCTCTTGTGAAAGTTTGATAATAACTAAGAAAGACTTGTATCGTAGTAATGCTGAGCAGCATTCAGATAACATGGAATTTAATACCTACTATTCCACAACTGGTAAGGATCCCTGTTTTCACGTACTCATTTAAAATGTGGAATGGAGTCAGAATCTGTAGCACAAAAGGGACTGAGGAGCCTTTCGCACTTAAGCCAGTGTTAGCTCAAGATCAAAAACAACTTAGATTTATGTGGTACATTTAATGTAGTAAAATGTGCCAAGGTGCTTTACACCTAACGGTTATTCATTAATAGTTGATACTAAGCCAGACAAAGAATAGATTAGGACAGATTGATCAAAAGGATAGATTTTGAAGAGCATTTTGAGGACAGAGGCAAGGAGGGTTAGAGGGAGAATTCCAGTACTTAGGATCTTGGCAGTTTAAGGCAAAGTTGTCAAATAGTGGTGCAATTAAAATCCATCTTCTGAAGAAGAGCCATATTGATTTGAAACATTAACTGTTTCTCTCTGCACAGATGCTGCCAGACCTGCTGAGTATTTCCAGCAGTTTCAATTTTTAAGTAAAATTGAAGTTTCTCGGGATGCCAGAATTAATGGAGTGGAGATATCTAGAGACTGGAGTTGTAGGGCTGGCAGAGATGAGTGACAGGAGTGATGTCGTGAAGAGATTACATAAAGAATGAGAATTTTAAAATTGGTGTTGCCAGACTGGGAGCCAGTATAGCTCAGGAAGACAAGGATAATGGGTGAACTGGAATTAAGACCATAAGATATAGGAGCAAAATTAGGCCATTTGGCCCATCGAGCCTATTCTGCCATACGATATTGGCTGATATGTTTCTCAACCCCATTCTCTTGCCTTCTCTCTGTAACCCTTGATCTCCTGACTGATCAAGAACCTATCTATCTCTGTCTTAAATACGCTGAATAACTTGGCCTCCACAGCCCTCTGCGGCAGTGAGTTCCACAGATTCGCCACCCTCTGGCTGAAGAAATTCCTCCTCATCTCAGTTCTGAAGGATCATCCCTTCACTCAGTGGGGAGGCAATGGCCTAGTGGTGTTGTCGCTAGTGTTATCCAGAGACCCAGATAAAGTCCGGGAACACGGGTTCAAATCCTGCCACAGCAGATGATGGAATTTGAATTCAATACAATATCTAGAATTAAGAATCTAATGATGACCATGAATCCATTGTCGATTGTCAGGAAAAACCCACCTGGTTCACTAATATCCTTTAGGGAGGGAAACTGCCATCCTCACCTGGTCTGGCCTATATGTGACTCCAGACCCACAGCAATGTGGTTGACTTTAAACCACCCTCTGGGCAATTAGGAATGAGCAATAAATGCTGCCTGGTCAGGAATGCCCTCATGTCATTAATGAATAAAGAAACAAAAACTCCCGAGGCTCTGCCCGTGGATGAAGGACTCTCCTGTCCGTGGAAACCGCTTTTCCACATCGACTCAATCCAGGCCTCTCAGTATTCTGTAAGTTTCGATGAGATACTCCCCTCATCTTAGAGGTCCAAACCAACCATATGAACACCCACCGCTATGACAAGGCCTAAACAACATAACGGGATAGAAAATGAAGCAGAGCAATATAGCGGAAAAAGACACATCCCTTCCTGATGCGTTCAGTGCTTTCAATGCTCGGTTCGAGCAGAATGCCGGTGGTGCAGTGTCACCTGCCCTGACAGCCCCAGACACACCTGTTCCCTCTGTCACCACTGCACATGTCAGATCAGTCTTCCTGAGAGTCAGTCCAAGGAAAGTGATGGAGTCCCTAGCCATGCAGTTGAAGTCTGTGTGGAAGCAGCTGGCAGAGGTACTCACTGACATCCTCAGCCTCTCCTTCCTACAAGCCAAAAGTCCTCTCCTACTTCAAGAAGACCACCATCATTCAAATACTTAAGAAAGCACATGCAACATGCCTTAATGACTACCATCCAGTGCTCTGACCTCCTTAATCATGAAATGCTTTGAGAGTCTGGTCATGGCCCACCTCAACTCTAGCCTCCCAGCTTGCCTCGATCCCTGCAGTTTGCCTACCTACATTACAGGTTCACAGCGGATGCACTTATCCCCAGAACATCTGGACAGCAAGGACACCTACATTAGACTTCTGCTTATCGACTACAGCTCCGCCGTCAACACCTTTATCCCCTCCAAATTGATGTCAGAACTCCAAGACCAAGGTCTCGGCTCCACCATCTGCAACTGGATCCTCAGCTTTCTGACCTGTGGACTGCAATCAGTGAAGATAGACAACTGCACCCATCCATGATAACCCTCAACACTGGAGCCCCATAAGGATGCATTCTCAGCTCCATACTGTGCTCTCTGTAAATCTACAACTGTGTAGCCAAATTCTAAACGAACGCCATCTACAAGTTTGCTGACAACATCACCGTGGTAGGATCAATATCAAACAGCGATGAGTCAGATTACAGAAAGGAGATGTAGGGCTTGGTGGCATGGTGCAATGACAGCAACTTCTCTCTCAATGTTGGCAAAACAAAAGAACTGATCATTGACTTCAGAAAGAAGGGAGGAGAATGTGCCCCCATCTACGTCAACGGTATGGACGTTGAGAGCATCAAGTTCCTTGGAGTGACGATAACCGACAACCTGTCCCGGACTTACCGTGTAGATGCAATGGTCAAGAATGCACTACAATGCCTCTTCTTCCTCAGGCGACTCAGGAAATTTGGCACGTCCATAAAGACCCTCACCAACCTTTACAGATGCACCATAGAGAGTATACTATCCGGGTGCATAACGGCCTGGTATGGCAACTGCTCTGCCCTGGACCTTAAGAAACTACAGAGGGTGGTGTGCATAGCGTGGACCATCACAGAAGCAAACCCTTCCATCCATTGACTCCATTTACACTTCTCGTTGCCGCAGAAAGGCTTCCAACATCATCAAAGACCCTTCTCACCCTGGTAACAGTCTCCTACAACCTCTTCTGTTAGGCAGAAAATACAGAAGCTTGAACACACGCACCAACAAGTTCAAGAATGACTTCTTCCCTGTCGTTACTAGACTGATGAATGGACTGTGTAACTTCAAATAATGTTGATCTTGTTAATGTTTATCTTGCTTCACGCACCTCCTGTGCAGTGTAACCTGTATGCCTCACTCTGTCCAAGCACCCTATGATCTGTATATCCTTGCTTACTATGATCTGCCTATACTGCTCGCAAACAAAGCTTTTCACTGTACTTAGGTACACATGACAATAAATCAAATCAAATCAACTCTTATCGAGTACAGATCCAGAGTCTTCAAACAGTCTTCATATGACAGGCCCTTCAGCCCCAGGATCATTCTTGTAAACCTTATCTGGACTCCTTCCAGTGCTAGCACATCTTTCCCTAGATACACAGCCCAAAAAAGCCTCAGCAGTACATCTCTGCTGTTGTATTCTAGTCCTCTTGAAACAAGTGCTAATATTGCATTTGCCTTCTTAACTGCCAGTTGAACCTGCATTTTGACGTTAAGAGAAACCTAAACTAGGACTGCCAAGTCCCTTTGTTCTTCAGATTTCCAAAACATTTTCCCATTTAGAAAATTTACCATGCCTCTATTTTTCCCACCAAAATGCATAACTTTACACTTACCCACATTGTAATCCATCTGCCACTTCTTTGCAACTCTCCTATCCAAGTCCTTCTGCAGCCTCCCCATTTCCTCTACACTACTGCTCCTTCACCTATCTTTGAGTCATATGCAAACTTATCGACAATGCCATTGGTTCCTTCATCCAGATCATTAATGTATAACGTGAATAGCTGTGGTCTCAACATGGACCCCTGAGGAATTCCATTCGTTACAGGTTGCCATCCTGAAAAAGATCTTCATGTCAGCCAGTCTTCTGTCCATGCTAGTACATTGCCCTCAACACCATGGACTCTTATTTAGCAGCCTCCTGTCAAAGGCACCTGGTCATCGACCTTCTGGAAATCCAAATAGATCATGCCCACTGGCTCTCCTTTGTCTAACTCACTCGTTTTCTCAAAGAATTCTAACGGATTTGTCAGCGATGACCTCCCCTTGACGAAGCCATGCTGATTCCACCTACCATGTACTTCAAGTACTCTGTGATTTCATCCTTACTAATGGACTCTAAAATCTTCCAACGATGGAGGCTCACTGGCCTAAGGTTACTGTCTTCTGTCTCCCTCCCTTCTTAAACAGCAATTTTACATTTGCCAATTTCCAGTCTTCTGGGACCCTCCCTGACTCCAATGATTCCTGAAAGATCATCACCAATGCCTTTACAATCTCCTCAGCTATCTCCTTCAGAACTCTGGGGTGTAGTCATCCTGGTCTGGGTGATTTATGCACCTTCAGACCTTTCAGCTTCCCTAGCACCTTCTCCTTAGTAATGGCCAGTAGACTCACCTCTTCACCTGACTTGATGTTCTGGTAATCTATTGGTGTCTTCCACTGTGAAAACTGATGCAAAGTACCTATTCATTTCCTCCGCAATTTCTTTGTTACCCATTACTTCTCCGGTCTCATTTTCCAGTGGTCCCATGTCCAGTCTTGCATCTCTCTTACCTTTAAGATGTCTTCAAGAACCTTTGCAATCTTTTATATTACTAGCTAGCTTAGTCTCATAATCCATCTTCTCCTCCTCCCTTATTTTTTGTTTAGTTATCCTCTTCTGGTTTTTAAAGGCTTCCTAATCTTTACACATTTATGTTTTTTATTTTATTTTTTATGCTGTCCCTGACTTCCCTTGTCAGTCATGGTTGCCTCATCTTCACCTTAGTATGTTTCTTCTTCCATGGGATGAATTTCTGCTATGCCTCTTGAGTTACTGCCAGGAACTTCTGCTGTTGCTGCTCCATTGTCTCCCCTACAAGTCTTCCATTCAAATCAACTTTGGCCAGCTCCTCCCTCATGTCTTTGTAGTTACTTTTACTCAATTGTAATACTGTTGCATCTGATTCCAGCTTCTTCCTCTCAAACTGTAGGGTGAATTCTGTCATACAATGGTCACTGCCCCAAGGAGTTCCTTCACCTTAAGCTCCCTAATCAAGTCTGCCTCATTATACATCATCAAATCCAGAATTTCCTGTTCCCTAGGGGCTCTACTACAAACTGGCCCAAAAAACATTTTGTGGATATTCTACAAATTCCTTTTCTTGACATCCACAACCGACCTGATTTTCCCAGTCCATATGCATATTGAACTCCCCCATGATTATTGTAATAGTATATTTCTCACATGCCTTTTTTATCTCCCGATTTATTTTCTTTCCCGCATCCTGATTATTGCTAGGAGGCCTATACGTAACTCCCATCAGGGTCTTTTTTTCTCCTTTGCAGCCCCTCATCTCTACCTACACAGATTCTACACCTTCCAACTCTGTATCACTTCTTGCTGTTGATTTAATTCATTTCTTACTAACTTCGTGGGAGTTGAAACACAACACCAGAGTCTTGGATGAGTGTAAGTTTACACAGTTTCAGAGATGGAAGCCAGCCAGAGCATTAGAATAATCAAATCCTGAGCTACATGATTAAACATTGGTATCATGTCAAAAGGGCTTCTTGAACTGAATGTTGGTAGCATTCTATCCTTTTGCCTATGTAGAAAGTACATATGAAAATCTAACAGGCAACATACTAGTAGTTAATTATCAACAAATACATGTGTTTAAGTATACCACCAATAAACACTGATGTCAGCATCACCAAGCTATGATCTGACATAATATAATCATGGTTGTCTAAATGCAGAAAGCATTTGCCAATCTTGTGTGGCCAATAGCATATTTTTGCTTGAGTTATAAATGTATTGTCTTTATTGGCTCGAAGATAGATGACAGAGGGTGGTGGTGAGGGTTGCTTTTCAGACTGGAGGCCTGTGACTAGCGGTGTGCCACAATGGTCGGTGCTGGGTCCACTTTTTGTCATTTATACAAATAATTTGGATGTGAACATAGGAAGTGTAGTTAGTAAGTTTGCAGATGACACCAAAATTGGAGGTGTAATAGGCAGCAAAGAGTCCAATAGGATCTTGATCAGATGGACCAATGCGCTGAGGACTGGCAGATGCAATTTAATTTAGATAAATGTGAGGTGTTGCATTTTAGAAAGGCATATTAGGGCAGGACCTGTACAATTAATGGTAAGGTCCAGGGAGTGTTGCTGAACAAAGGAACCTTGGAATACACATTCATAGTTCCTTGAAAGTGGAGGCACAGGAAGAGAGGATCATCAAAATGGCGTTTAGTGTGCTTGCCTTTATTGGTCAGTGCATTGAGTATAGGATGTGGGAGGTCATGTTGCGGCTGTACTGGACATAGGTTAGGCCACTTTTGGAATACTGCATGCAATTCTGGCTATAGGAAGGATATTGTGAAACTTGGAAGGGTTCAGAAAAGATTTACAAGGATGTTGCCAGGGTTGGAGGGTTTGAGCTATAGGGAGAGGCTAAATAGGCTAGGTCTACTTTCCCTGGAGCGTTGGGGACTGAGGGGTGACCTTATAGAGGTTTATAAAATCATGAGGGGCATGAATAGGGTAAATGCACAAGGTCTTTTCTAGGAGTGGCGAGTCCAAAACTAGAGAGCATAGGTTTAAGGTGAGAGGGGAAAGATTTAAAAGGGACCTAAGGGGCAACTTCTTCAGGCAGAGGGTGGTGCATGTATGGAATAAGGTACCAGAGGAAGTGGTGGAGGCTGGCTCAATTACAACATTTAACAGGCATCTGGATGAGTATACAAATATGAAGGGTTTAGAGGGATATGGGCCAAATGCTAGCAAATGGTACTAGATTAATTTAGGAAATCTGATTGGCATGAACAAGTTGGACCAAAGGGTCTGTTTCCATGCTGTATGTATCTGTGACTCTATCACATTCTTTCTTAAGTGCTTAGCCACGATAAGACCGCACTTTGATGAATCACCTCGAGACCGGAAGTCCACGCTGAGCCGAGAGATGCCACATACCGCTGAAAGACCACCATGACGGGCACTGAGAGACTGCCGGGCTGGGCATCTGCCACGCTGGGTCTGCACTGAGTTAGAGACCAAGGGTATAAAGAAAGAAGGGAAAAAAAGCGCCAAAACAGAAGAAAACTAGGAAAAGGAAACAAAGTAAAAGAACTCTGTCTGAGGCGTCCCATCTGCCGTCATCTTGATTTATGGTGCAGTGATGTCTTCTGGAGGCCACAACTTTGTTTGATACACGTGTCATAGATATTGGTTTACTGGTCTGCAAAACGAGCAGAGAATTGGCCAATAGAGTTAATACTGCAAGGTGATGCGTTTTGGCAAAGAGCTTAGGAATAGGCACACTAATACGTAGAGGCTGTGGGGACGGTGTGGAATCATGTGCCTAGATCTTTGAATGTGTCTCAGTATATTGAAAGTAGTTAGCAAAGCATTTGGGATCTTGGGCTTCATAAACAAAGCTAGAGTAGAAAAGCAGGGATGCTATCCAGAACCCTCAAACTCTGGTTAGGTCATAACAGATTTCTTTTCCCAGATCTGGTCACCATGTGTTAGGAAGGAAGTGTAAATCATTGAGAGGATTCAATGATTCACTGGAATTTTTCCAGAAAAAGGAAGGTGGAGTAGCTTCCACATTGGGGCTGTTCTCCTTGAAGCAAATAGGTTTGAATGGATATCGGATAAAGGCATAAAAAATTGAGATATTTGGCAAAGGTAGGTAAAGAAAAGCTGCTCCCGTTAGCTTGAGTACACACAGGTACTGAAGGACACGTTTAAGCTTTTGGGCAAGCAAAGAGGATTTGATGAAATTTTTTTTTGCACTGCACATGTTAACATCCTGCAACTTGCTTCCCATTAAGGTGGCTGAAGTAGAGATAATCAGTGATTTCAAAAGGAAATTGGAATGGTATCTGAGGGAAATAAACTTGCAGGGTATAGTGCAGAGGAATAACATTGACTAGATTGTTGTACAGAAGGACGACACAGACTCAATAAGCCACATAGCCTCCTGTGCCATTATGACTCAGTAATACAATATTGGTGATGCTTTGTACTTAAGTCTAATCCAAGTTACCCACAACATTACCCACATTTGTGTGATACAACAGGTTCATATTCCATTCTTTGCTTTTGTATGACAATTGATTACATTTTCCCCTTTTTTTTAAGATTGTCAAACTGTACAAAATGGGGAAAGAAAATATGACATTGCAGTGAAGGACAGATCCATGGACTGGTTTAATGGAAATGAGGAGTGAGGATACCTTGCAAATAACTGGGTTCATGCCACCAGAAATGTGTTGCAAGCAAGAGCGAAAAACATCCTAAATTTTGATGTAACAGTTTCTCACTAAGCCCACATTGACTTAAGAGTACCAACATGCATCTTCCTGTCTGAACATCAAGACAAAGGAAAAGTATTAACAAGAGCTGCTGGTATGAATGAAGACTCAATTCTGAACAGTATCCCCATTAAAAAGGTTGTTTGTTAAAACAACTTGGAACAGAAATTTTCATGACCAATTTAAACACTTACTATGGTGGTGCATAGTGGCCATCAGAATAAAACAGGTAGGCAGGATTTTGGTCTTGTAAATTTCTACTAGCTCTTTAAATGTCTTACATTGACCTGTTGCTATTTCAAAGACCTTTGCTACCTGTTAACTGACAAGCATGTAGTTCTTTATGAACACGAAACTACTTTGCTCGCCTTTTACGTTCAAATGATTTTTTGATTGTTTTTGTGTCCTTTTTTCTCCTGCCACTGTCTATATTTAACAAAGTACTACAATATAAAATTATGAATAAATGAGAAAATACACTTTGTTTTATTTATCGCAGTGATTTAATACAGATTGGAACAGTACATAGAACTCAGTCTTCACAATTCCATGGGGACTTGCTGTTGTTTTCACTGTTGTGTGCAGTAGAATATAACTGGACAGGTCTAAATTTTCTTAGTTTAACAAGGAAAGCTGTTTCGGAAAAACAACGCACAGAACAATTATAAGAATCTGTTGTTAACAATTGAAACAACTTCTGATAGCATATTTTTGTGGAAATATTGAACTCTAGTGGATAAGATTCGAACTCTCTCCACTTCTTTTCCCAGTAATATTCCTACCAACACCTAATTCTGTCCCTTACCTCCCCTGTTAACGATCAATACACGCCAACCACCATGTGTACCAGTACGCTAGTCTCAACAAATAACAGTGCTGCACCCATGAATAAAGTGAAACCAATGTAATGCAAAATATTTATGATAGAGATTTAAGTTTTGAAAATCATGCACGCCACCATTGTGCTCCCAATAATTCTTACATTAATGGAAATGGAGTTGGGCAGTAAATTTGATGAATTGAAAGGTTTTATAGTTTACTCATATTTGTCAGGTAAAATCTGTACACTGCATGATCATCACACCTGTGTCCCATGTACTCCTCTGGCATTTTAACTTTGAATTGGACTCATATGGGAGTAGGCAGAAAGCGAAAGAGTGGAACTCTTGTCCACTTCTGAGTATGTTGTCAGGAGTGGTGCAGCACAGTTACATTTCATCCAAAGTATGACAATCAGCTGTAAGAGGAGAAATTATGTTAGAGGACCAAAAGCTTCGTCAAAGAGGTACGCAAAAGAATTCCACGTTTCAAAAATGGTGGTAGGGATAATTCAGGGAATCAGACTATTGAGTCTCATCAGTGGAAGGGAAACTATTGGAGAGAATTCTGAAGGAGGGAATTAATCTCCACTTGGGGAGGTAAGGTTTGGTCAGGAATAGTCAGTGGGGCTTTGCAAGACGGAAGTCATGCTAGCAGATTTGATTGAATTTTTCAAGGAGGTGACCAGATGTGTAGACGAGTGTCGTACAGTTGATGTCATTTATGTGGATTTCAGCAAAGCCTTTGACAATGTTCCACATGGGAGACTGATAGGAAGATGGTAGAAAGCTGTTTTTGTGCTTGGAGGCTACTGTCCAGTGATGACCTCATACAGCACTGCTGGGTCCCTTCTTGTTTGTGATATATGTAAATGATATAAAAGAGAATGTTGTGGGGGGGTGGTGGTGAGTGGCAAGTAAGTTTGCAGGTGAAATAAAAATTATTTGGGTGGTTCACAATGAGGAAGTCAGTCTTAGGTTACAGGAAGATATAGATGGAGTGGTCAGCTGGGCAGGTCAATGGCAGAAGGAATCTAACCTTGTAAAGTGTGAGGTGCTGCACTTCGAAAGAAGCAGCAAGTCAAGGGAATACTCAATGAATGGCAGGACACTCAGAAAAGACAGATCTTGAGCTGCTTGTCCATGGATCCCTGAAGGCGGCAGGACAGGTTAATAGGTAGATAAGGCATATGGAACACTTGCCTTTATCTGTTGGCATAGATTAGAAGAGCAGGGAGGACATTATCTTGGAGCTGCACAAAACTTTGGTTAGGCCACAGCTGGAGTGCTGTGTGTAGTTCCGGTCATTGCACTATAGGAAGGATGTGACTGCACTGGGGGGTTGTAGAGGAGATTCACCAGATGTTGCCTGGGATAGAGCATTTAGCTATGAAAGAGAGACTGGATCAGCATGGGTTGTTTTAAAGTAGAGAAGGTAAAGCGGGGTCTTAGTTGAGGTACGTAAGATTGTGAGGGGTATAAACAGGGTGGATAGATCAGTAAGGGAATCAAGGGTTGTGAAAAGGCAGGAAAGTGGATTTAAGGATTATCAGATCAGACATCAGATCTCACGGAATGAAAGGGCAGATGGGTTGAATGCCCTATTTCTGCTTTGGTTTCTTATGGTCTTGACTCAATTGTGTATCAGTTACACTTACCTGCATCAATCAGATAACATTAAAGTCAGAGCAAAGATTACCATCACAACAGTGGCATCTAACTGAATGTGGAAAATTGCGCAAGCATGCCAATGCACAAAAGCAGGACAAATCCAACCTGGACAATTACCACCCCATCAGTTTACTCTCAATCATCAGTGAAGTGATGGAAGGTGTCATAGACAGTGATATCAAGCAGCACCTGCTTAGCAGTATCTGATGACCAATTTGGGTTCCGCCAGGGGCATTCAGTTCCTTCCTGACCTCGTTATACCCTTGGTTCAGACATGGGAAGAGAGCTGGATTCCAGAGGTGAGGGACATTGACAGCCCCATAACATCAAGGTCACTTTTAACCAACTGTGGCATCAAGGAACCCTTGCAAAACTGGAGTCCATGGGAATCGGGGAAAACTCTCCAATGGTTGGAGTCATATCCAGTAAAAAAGAAAATTGTTGTTGGAGGTCAGTCATCTTGGCTCCAGGACATTGTTCCTCAGTGTAGTGTCCTAGGCCCAGCCATCTTCAACTGCTTCATCAATGACCTTACGCACATTTGACCTTATGATATATGTTCAATGATGAATGCACAACATTCTGCACAATTTGAAACTCCTGAGATATTGAGAGCAGACCATGTCCAAATGCAATGTGACCTGGACAATATGCAGACTCGGGCTGAAAAGTGATACATTAGCACCACATAAATGCCAGGTAATAAAAATCTCTAATATGAGACAATCTAATCATCACCCCTTGACTTTCAATGGCATTACTATCACTGAATCCCTCACTATCAACATCTTGATTGTCATTGACCAGAAACTGAACTGGATTTGCCAGATAAATACAGTAGCTACAAGAGCAGGGCACAGGATAGGAATACTGCAGCACGTAAGTCACCTCCTGACTCCAAAAAACCTATCCACCATCACAAGGCACAAGTAAAGTGAGATGGAATATTCCCCACTTGCTCAGATGAGTGCAGTTCCAACAAAACTCAAGGAGATTGACATTATCCACAACAAAGCCGCCTGTTCCATTGGTACCACATCCATAAATATATTCCAGCACTGAAGTTTAGTAGCATCAGTGTATACTATCTACAAGATGCACTGCAGAAATTCATCAACGATCCTTGGCACCTTCTAAACCCACAACCACTTCTATCTGGAAGGACAAGGGCAGCAGGTACGTGGGAACATCATCAACTGCAAACTCCTGTCTAAGACACTCACCATCCTGACTTGGAATTATATCACTGTTCATTTACCGTCACCAGGACAAACTCCTGGAATTCCCTCCCCAACAATATTGTGGTTCTACCTACAGCACATGGACTGCAACAGTTTAAGGCGGCTTACCATCACCTTTAAGAGCAACTAGGGATGGGACATCGATGCCCATATCCCACAACTGATAAAAACATGCTGGACTCACCTGTGTGAGAAACTTGTTCATGATGAGGTCTGGCAATATAAGGTATTGTGCAAAAAGGCTTACTGTCTTCCTCTTCACCTGTATTTAATGTAAAACATAATACCAGGTTATATGTTAACTTCAAAGACTGTTTTTCTCAGCTATTAATAAAATAAAACAATATCTTCTAACCACTTTTTATTTATGTTTCACAATTTCCATCCCTCCTTCCCTGAATGCTCAATCTCTTAGAATCTTACAGCACAGCGAGAAGCTATTTGTCCCATTGACCCATGCTGGCTCTTTGAGCTATCCAGTTGCCGTGCTCTTTTCTTTGTTGCATGGAATTATTTCAATTTTCAAGTATATATTCACCTCCCAGTGCTCGGCTAGTGATTCTTCAGTCAGTCAATGGAAGTTCTTTCGCACTACAACCAGTGATTATTCTCCCAGTAATGTAAACAGAAAATGCTGGAAACATTCAGAAAATATTCATTCTTCACATGTATTTGCTAATTTATCCTCATTCGGTACCTACCTACATGCACTTTACATCAGAATTTGTAATATAGCAATCACAAAACACCAACTGATTTTTTTTCAAATCACATTCCTTAGACTGGAGATACTGAGCTCAATTATAACACTCTGATTATTGTTCCAATGAGATCAGTACAATTAGTAAAGAGTGGCATTTGAACCTCAAATTTCTTTGTCTCTTTGCCTTTATGTTACATCAGGTTATGTAACCCTAACCCTATCTGCTCAACATCCTTTTCAAAATGTAAAATTCCATTCATTCACTTTTTACACTTTTATGTATAAAATGGTTCTTGGGATTGTGTACCAACCACTTCACCAGCATCGTGCTCCCTTACTTTGTGCACTGTTGTGACTCTCTGGAATCCAGTTGTTCTGGGGTTTGGAGTATTTGCACCAGCCTTGTTAATTTGCATGGATTGGGTAGCCACTCAAGTCTTTCACTTTAATGTTCACATTGCAGGGGCAAACAGTCAGTAAATTTGGAAATGCAGGAAGCAGGATGGATACTCTACCATTATCCTCCAGGAGCATGGTTCCATCTTTTCTTTGTTCATCTTCAGACTTGTTGTACACATTGTTTTGCGGTTTCACTCGGGGTGCTGTGCTGCCATCCTTCCGTAGAGCTGGTGCAACAAGCCAGTTCCTGTGAATGACCTCCAAGATCTTCTCACAAGAGAGGAATAACTGGCAGCTGCGTATTCCTTCCAATAGATCAACAACCTGGGTAATACTACACAAAACATAGGTTAGCAGAAGAACCCAGAATACTAGGAACCTTTCACAATTTTACAGCAACAATGTTCATTTATATAACAGCCTTGACGTTAAAAAAATCGTGTTGCATGGGTGACAGGGAAGTGACAGGTTAGAAGGAAAATTAGATAAAAGGAACGAACAATGCACACCTAAACATGATGCAAGATTTGGGAGAAGTGACCAAAAGCTTGATCAGAACATGGTTTTGAGAAGTTGAAAATAGAAATCAAAAGTAAAATAGTTTATGCAGGGAATTCCAAATAACTGATTTAAGTTTTGTGAAAGTAAACAGTTCTTTCTTAATTGCATGATTCTCTCCTGCCTAGCTATGCAAGTGTGTTTCAGGCCATTCTAGTCCCTGATTCCCCACTCCTGCCCAAGCTAAGATGTCAGTGTGGGGTTAGGGTCTCTCTACCCACATTCCCAACAATGAGCCTATACAAATTAAATAGAGAAAATAGGAATTGGAGCAAGTCATTTGACCCTACAAGCCTGCTCCACCATTCAATATGATCATGGATGATCGTCTAACTCACTACCCTCTTCCTGTTTGAAGAAATTTTATTTGCATTAAGTCAAGCCTGGCATTCTTATTTCAGGTGGAAGTCTTGTGTTAGAGCGCTGCTGGCCAATCTGCTGGATAATTGGCCACTTTATGGTCTCAGAAGCACTCCCAGGAACTGTGGACACTAATGATACTAAATAAAGTCCTACTACACTGAGGAGCCAACCTGTTGTAGTGTTCGGTGTAGGCAGGGCAGAGGTGTGAGGGCTTTGTTTAACAGGCCTGAGGGTAGGTTAAAGGCAGTAGTACATGTGACAGACTCTCACGATTTGAAAAGGTGGTTCCAATACTCCAAATCACTGCTATTCCATGAAGCTGAAATTGTTGGCTTTCCTGCATGGCCTTAGGTAAAATACCAGAGGCAGTGAGATAAAGCTCTTAAGTGCTCCTTAACTAGCCACTTAAGGTAGCCACTATAGGCCCAACGGGTGGTGAGCTGCCCAATGATTCCCTCACCCCCCAGTTAAATTTCAGACAGATATGGGGGACATGTGGGTAGGTGATGGGAAGGCGAAGACCACTCAATAGGTCTATGTGACCACCACCTTCAGACTTATTGATGATGTTATGTAAATCCAGCGATATCACTTCACTTATTGTTGCATTGCCACTTCTGGGATAAGTAGGTAAATTTGTTGCTGCGTTTCCTACTTTACAAGAGTAACTATGCTTCAAAATTATTCACTATAAAATGCATTGGCCCAAGAGATGAAGAAAGTTTCTTTATGATAAGGTTAACCACACCAAAACTAAGCAAACTTACTTTGCTAAATATACTGCACAGACTCCACCTTGCTTGAGGTGTTTGTAGACAACAGGCAAAGCAAGTTGTGGGCTCAACATATCCAAAGCGACCTGCACAGGATACAAAATGATGAAGAAATTAATATAAAATGCATTTCATATTTACCTTAAGATCTAAACTGGCTAGTGAAACAGGAAGATTAATGGAAATTTTAGTTTTGTAATATGATCTACAAGAATAATATACTAAGTCGAGTACATACTGAACGTAAAGAATCTGAAAGGCAGTGAGGGATAATAGTTGGCGTAAGGAATTACTTGAGACTGGAACCTGTTGTAGTCCAGGAGAGAAGATTGAAATGAGTTAATATAAGTTTTTAAAATTAGGAAGGGTTTTTACAACAAATAGGGTAAGATTATTCATCCGATTGAGGGACTAACAAACGGGGTGGGGGGTGGGGTGGGCTCATCAATTGCCAGTCAAGTTGAGGAGAGTTATTATGAGAGATTCCTTTATGCATGGGGTAGTGGTAAGGTAGAATGTTTGCCATTGGGAATGAGTGACACAGAGACCACTACTTCTTTTAATAAATAGTTCAATTGGAGGTTATGTTGAGGGAATACAGGAGTGGGATTAGTTCCAAGTTGCTATCTCAAATGGTTGGAACCGACACAATTAGCCACATGGCCTCCCATGTTGTGGTCTTTGATTCCATAGGTACAAAGTGTTTATTTCAGAAGTTGAATAAAAAATTTGGATTAAAGGTGAAGAAAGGTAAAGAATGTACTAAAGTTCCTGGAGACTAATGGCAAATCCTTAACATTGCTTATCCTACTAGATAAGAAAGAAATTGCATATTCAATAGGAAACAAAACAAATCCTGCATCTTTCTCCTATCAGGCTGCATGAACTCACTGTGGGTGAATTCACATGACCACTCAAGTTTGATGCTACACTCACTCACGTGACACGCTTTCCAGTTAGTCATTAGGTAGCAATCAGGAGTGACTGATATTTTCTTTTCCCACTCAAAGCAAATCAACTGATGTACCCTTACTGCTGTACCATCAGAACTAGTGAATCCAGCACAGACTACAATTCAAACCTTGAACTATTCTGACTCAGTACTATACGGGGTACTTACTAATTAGGTTTTGGGTATATTAAATAGATATTATCTTTTATTTAATCAAGTTTAAGTTTTAGTACAAAAACAAATTACATCATGCTATTTCAACTACAATGGATTTTTTCTAAGTATAACTACAAAAGATCAGAAATAAATGTGATCTGTATATGACTTACTATTTAACGATCGTTAATGCTGTACTTAGGCCTGGATATTCCACACAGTGTAAAGGGTAGGGTCAGGTCGGCAGGTCATGGGAGAGATATCAGTTTGAGTTAAAAGCGGGGCGAATAACTGCGTCTGGCAGCGGTGTGTGTTTTGGGAGCTGTGGGCCTTGGATCCAGTGAGGGGTGTCAGGTCTGATAGCTGGGAAGGGTCTGCTTAGTTGGTGGCAGTGGGGGTGTTGGATCAGGGAGGGATCAGGACAGCAGTAGGGGAGAATGGGTTGTGGGGATGAAGGTATTGGTGGCTGACTGAGGGATGGATGTCAGGGATGTGTGGGGGATTGGGGATAATTAGTTGCAGGGGTGAGTTGGAGACGGTTTATGATTCTTGAGTGTTTCCTGGGTAACTATCAAGCTTAACTGAGTAGTAACTCTGAAATTGAGAAGCATTTTTCGAGAATTCCAGACTCAGTGGAATTAGCCATCAGAATTTTCAATTTCCCAAGCAATCCCCACAGAGACAGCTGTGTTGGGGATTTTGTTCCGTCCCAACGTCTAACTCTGGTCTGTTTGCTTCAACGTCTGTGATCATTGGATACTGACAGTTGCTTTCACCTTTATAATCTGAACTTTCCTGAAAATTGTTGCAGTATTATCAATTTCTGCACCCACCCTGTGCAAAGTGTCCCGTGCCCTCCCACCCTATACCCGTAACCTGCATTTGCCATGGCTAATCCACCTAATCTGCACGTCCCTGGACACTGGGCAATTTAGCATGGCCAATCCCCCTAACCTGCACATCTTTGGACTGTGGGAGGAAACCAAAACACTTGGCTGAAACCCAGGCAGACACAGGAAGAATGTGCAAACTCCACATAGACAGTTATCCAAGGCTAGAATCAAACCCGGGTCCCCGGATACTGAAAGGCAGCAGTGCTAACCATGGTGCCACCAAGAGGTAATATTAGATCAAAAGTGAGATGTAGCAGTGGAGTTTCTGATAGTGAGCAGCCCAAACTCTAAACTGAGATCTCCATTTTCTCAGCTGGTTTTTCTTTTGGAGTGCTTGAAAATTAAGAATCTACAGTTTTCAGATCTGAACATCTAAATTGACCATATCTAAAATTCATTTGTTGCGGATAGTCTAAAATGAGACAGCACCTAAATCCATTTTGGGCTGTGCTTATGAATTTAATGATGAACAAAGTCAGTGTGATCAGAATTATGGTTTAGTATAGTCGCTTTCACATTTTTGATCCTATTTTAAAATTACGTACTTTCACTTTTAAATCCATGACTTCATTCAACAGTATGCTACTCACTAATTACACGCAAGTTCTGAGAAAGGGTCACCGGACCCGAAACGTTAACTCTGTTTTCTCCTTCACAGATGCTGCCAGACCTGCTGAGCTTTTCCAGCAACTTTGTCTTTGTTCCTGATTTACAGCATCCGCAGTTCTTTTGGTTTTTATTTGCTACTCACTAATTCCTAGCAATATGGCTCATCACACACACAACTGTGCAACATCTGTGGGAGCTGCAACAACTCTGTTTATGTAATATCATTAACATAATAAAGTGTCCCCAAGGTATTTCACAGGAGCAATATCAAACCAAATTTGACACCAAGCCACATAAGAAACTAAGAGGACAGCTTACCAAAAACTGGTGGCAAAGGGTAAGTTTTAATTAGCATCACAGAGAGGAACTAACTGAAGAGGCAAAGAGTATCAGAGAGGGAATTTCAGTGTGCTGAGAACACAGTCGTCAGGGTTGGAATAATGTGCTGAAGCATCAAAGTGATGCAAAATTGAGCCAAAGGAGCTAAAGAGAAAACTTTTTCAGGGATAGTAGGAACTGCCGATGCTGAAGAATCTGAGATAACAAGGTGTAGAGCTGGATGAACACAGCAGGCCAAGCAGCATCAGAGGAGCAGGAAAGCTGACACT